CCAGGGACGGGGGAGCCTGGTGGGCTGCTGTCTAAGGGGTCACAAAGAGTCGGCACGACTGAAGTTTCTTAGCAGCAGCAGCATTATCACTGGCTACATACTTCTGTGTTTTCCAGGTCTTCTTGAAAGAGGGACACGCATAAGACTTGTGGGCTTGTTAAAGAGCACCTCTGTCTCTAGCTCAGGACCCAGTTCTGATCTGTCTCTGTAATGAGCCTAAATAGACTTTTGAGTAGCAGAAACTGCTCTTGGAGACCCAGCAGGACTTGATGTATACGCCTTTTTAGGCCAGTTTCTGGGAGGACATGAATTACAGCCAATAACACTGCTTTCTTACCCTCCGCTAGCATGTTTGGTTTGATTTTCTGTTGTTACTCCGTTTTATATTTCATTGAGTTCTGCTCTTTATTATTTCTCCTTAGGTTTCTCCTTAGGTTAAATTTGCTTCTTTTTCCCCAACTTCTTAAGGGTAGAAACTTAGATCATTGATTTAAAACCTTTTTCTAATATAGCAGTAAATTTCTCTCAATTTTTGATATCTTGTGTTTTTACTTTAAATATTTTCTAAATTCCTTGTGGCTTATCTTGGACTCATGGATTATTTAGAAGTATATTTTCTATTTTCCAGATATCTATCTGGAGAGTGTCTGGATTTACTATTACTGGTTTTTTGGTCAGAGAACAGAGTCTTTAAAAAAAGACTATTTCAGTCTTTTGAAATTTATTGAGATTTATGGCCCAGCATGTGATCCATCTTGGTAAATGACTCATGTATTCTGTAGTTATGTGGTATAATGTTCTATAAATGTCACCTAGGCCAAATTGGTTGATACCATCTTTCACATATCCTGTTGCTTTTCTTATTTGTTGTCTGCTTGTTCTATCAATTATGAAGAGAAATGATAAAATCTCCAGTTAGAGTTGTGAATGCTTTTGTTTTTCTCTTGAGTTTTGCCATTTTCTGTTTGTGAGTTTTGAAGCTTTATTATTATGTACATACATATTTAAGAGTGGTGTCTTATTCTGATCTCCTTTTATCATTATAAATTTCATTCTATTTTGTTAACCTGTCTTTAAATTTTTAATTCATCTCTTACAGACAGTGTATAGTTGAATCTTGCTTTTTTAAATATGACAGTCTCCACCCTTTCGTTGGATGTTTAATCCATTAATAGTTCATGTAATTATTTATGTAAGTGGGTTTAAGTCTACCATTTTGCCATTGTTTTCATTTGTCCCTTTTGTTTTTGTTTTTCTCTTCTAATGCCTTCTTTTGGGTTAATTGACTATTTTTTAATGCTTCATTTTATTTACTCTATTGGTTTCTTTGCATGTTTTAAGTTATTTTTTCATTGATTATTCTGGGGCTAATAATATGCAACCTTAACTTTTTAAAGTCTGTTTATAGTCAGAATTTGTATCACTTCACATTTTACCCCTGACTTTTCTCATTTTCTACTTCACACCTCCAGCCTCTCACTTGACACATCCATTTCATCTTCTCAATTCACAAATATAATTTAATATAACTCTCCTTATTCACCCTCTCCATTTTTCATGCTCTTGTTGTCATATCTTTTATTTCTGTTCAAAACTACTTGCATGTTATTCTTGTTTAAAAGAGTCTTTTAAGGAAACCTTAAGAAAAATAAAAAATATAAACTTACTTTTTGGTAACTTATTCATCATTTTTGGTATCCTCCTTTCCTTCCTGAAGACCTGAATTTCCATATTGTATTGTTTCCCTCCATCCTGAAGAACCATTTTTTGTAATTTCTTGTAGTACACATCTGCCTGAGAAGAACTTTGTCAGCTTTCATTTTATTTGAAAATATGTTTATCTTGTTTTTGAAGGATTTTTCACTGGATAGAGAATTCTGAATGGAATTTTTTTTTTTTTTCTTCTAGCCCTTTAAAAATGTTGTTCTGTCCTCTCCTGGTCCCCATTGTTGTGATGAGAAGTTAGTGATCTTGGCATTATTTTTCTCCTGTATATAACATATTGTTTTGGAGTCCCTTTAATGATTTTCTCTTTATCTTTGATTTTCAGCCGTTCAACCATGATTAAACTAGATATGATTTTCTTTGTATTTATTGTCTTGGGAGTTTGATGAGCTCTTTGGATATGATAAAATAGTGTTTTCAACAAACTATACAATTTTAACAATTATTTCTTCAGATATCTTTTCTGCTTTTATTCTCATGGTCTTCTTTTGTGGCGCCCAGTACATATGTGTTAGACTGATACTGCCCTACAAATGTCTGATGCTGGGTTCATTTTTCTGCAACTCTTTTTTTTTTTTTTTTCTTTATTCCTCAAATTTGTAATTGGCAGTGATCTGTCAAGTTCATAGACTCTCTCTTCTGCTATCTCAAATCCACTATTAAGTCTATTCAGTGACCTATATTTGAAATGGACAACTGACTAGCACATGCAGTTCCACTCAATGTTATATGGCAGCCTGGACGGGAGGGGAGTTTGGGGGAGACTGGATACATGTATACATATGGCCAAGTTGCTTCGCTGCTCACCCTTAAACTATCACAGCATTGTTAATTGGATATACTGATACAAAATAAAAAGTTGAAAAAAATGTCTATTCAATGACTTTTTCATTTTAGTTATTGAACCTTTCAGCCCTAGAATTTCCATTTTTCCCCTCCCATTTGGTTCTTTTTTCTAGTTTTGATTTTTCTGAGATTCCCATCTGTTCATATATTCTTTTCTGTTGTTGTTTTTACACACGATGTCCTTGACTTTTTGAGACATATTTATAATAGCTGATCTAAATTTTTTACCCACTTTAGATACTGTATTTTTAAAAAATGGCTTTGTAGGGTGTTGATTTTTGTTTTAGTAGGCAGTTTAGTTGCTGACTGATCTTCTTGTATAGGCTTAGCTTTATATTTTGCCATGGCTGATCTGTGGAAGTCTCAAGGTTTTTCCTCAGGCCCGTTTACCTTAGCAAGACTCATCCTCCAAATTCTGTCTCTGCTGTGGATTCTGTTAGGGCTTAGTTTTAGGCTTTGTTAGCGTGTGTCTAGAGTAGGCCTCATCCTGGGGTATGTTTATACTCCTAAAGCGAAGCCTTCCTAGTGTTTCATGCCCAGTGTTAATGAGTTCTCTTTGTTTGGACTGGGTTAGGCCGCCACTCTTTCCCTGAAGTTGCTTGACCTCTTGTATCTCTGTTAGCCTTAATACAGCCACTCTTTTGTAAGCCCTGTGTAGTTACATGTCCGGCGTTGGTTAAAGGCTCTCCGGAAAGCCTTACACAAACTTCTGTGGCCCCCCTCTGTACAGTCCCTCTTCCCCAGGGCCCTATCTCTGCCTCCCAGCCCTGCTCCGCTTGGACTGCAGCTGACTGGGCTGCAGTCAGGAAAATGCCCCGAGGCAGAGAACAGGCAGATGTGGCCTTCTCTCAGAGGTCACATTCTTGCCCCCTCTCTGAGCTGGTACCTGAAAGTAGTTGCATCATTTCGTCCAGTTGTTTATGAGAGGAGGAAAGGTCTGGGACCAATTACTCTGTCCTACTGGAAGTGGAAGTCTCCCACGGCCTTTTTACATGCATTGAAGTGAACTTTAGGGTAGCATGAAAGAGCAAAATAAATCTTAGTCACTCTTGGAACCAAAATAGGTAAAATGGGCTTATGGGGCTCATGAACTGAACCATTTCTCTCTGTCTGATCTTCCCACCTCCCGCCCCTAATTATCCATTCACTTGTCTTCTGTCTTCTCACGGGAGACAAGCAGAGTGAGGGGAACGGAAGAGAGAATGACCTGACTTGGACCCTGCATCCTGGGCTGTGACCTTGGGCCTGTCAACTGAAAAATTAAGTGCAGTTTGTGAAAATGCGCTGCTATTAGTGGTAAAAGTAGGAATGCATGTCGGACTCTGCGTGTGTTTTATGACACTGCTTATACCTTGCGGTATGAGCAAACAGGATGTTACCAGAAAAGGGGACTGCTTAACTTCTTCCAAACTTACGTACAGTGCTGTTGACTGCCCTTCAATGGTGAGATAATGATCTATCTCAACTCGTGACTTAAAGTGGGCCTTGTGGTTAATAGGAAGAGGTTTTCTTTGAGGGTGGTCAGGGGGTTGGGTAATGTTTTGCAGTTTAGACTTGTATAGAAGAATCACTTTTTTGGTTATAAATTCTAATCTTTCTGTTTTCTTTTTCACCTTAAACTTCTTTAAAATAAAACCTCTTTTTGATAGAAAAGGACCGCTCATTAGAGAAATAGTCACTTTAGTTGATAATTAGCCATCTTTTCAGAAATTGAATGGTTTCCATTTAGAAATGATCTAGTAGATATAAATGCTGTCTCACACATGGAGCTTTTCCCTCTATTTAAATATGTCATAAGGGCCTCAGAAGAAGAATAATCCTTTATTGTTAGGGCCTAGTTGGAATATCGCAAGTTGCTATAGTACCTAATTGAATATACCAATTCTTGTATCTGCCCAAGAAGCCTTAATTTAGATTAGGTTTATTCTTTTAAAGTTGTTTTGGCTTGTTGATTTGAAAATACGTCCTGTTTAACTTTGTTTTCTCAGAAAATGTGATAGCAATTTAAAGGGATTTATTTGTATCTTGACCATGTCGTTTGCCTTAGCTTTGCTTTCTGTCCTGTTTTCCAAATTGAACACCTCGGTTAGTCACTTACTCTGTGTATTTTCCCCTTTGTCTCTCACCACATCCTCCCTACCTGTTTAACCCTGGATTAACCATCTCCTTTCTTTTTTTAAAAAAAGTTTTCATTTGCTTTTTAGTTTTAATTATGGTAAAATGCACATAACGTGCAAATACACACCTAGGTTATTTCCACCTGAGACGCAGGCCAACAAACAAAAGCAAACGGAGTGAACCTTCTGTATGCCACATTTTCTTTTAGCTTGACTGTGTTTTTTCTTGGTGCACAGCTGTGTGCCTCAAAAGAACTCCCTGCAGCACTTGGTGCCCGGCTTTGTTAGCTTTTCCTGCTTTCTTTGGGCCACTGAAGTCAGGCTTCCGCTTGCCCAGCTCCTCTGAAGGCACCTCGTACAAAGCCACTGGTTCGTGGGTTGCCTGATCTAGTGGCCTCTCTCTGGCGTCATTGTACGTGACCTTCCTACGGCACTTAACACCAGCCACTTCCTTCTTCATGAAACTCTTCCTTTGCTTTCTGCTGCCCTGATTTTCCTGCCTCTGGTACAGCCTTGTCCTTTGCGGCCCCTCTTAAATGGTGACGCTCCCTGATGCTTACTCCCCTCCCGTAGTCTCATCTATCTGCATGCTTTTAATCCTCACTTAAACACAGCTAATTCTGAAACCTGAGTCTTCCACCCAGATCCTTCTTTTGAGTCCAGGCCCACATAACATAATCCTTGTAACAGACTTACAAAGTAGTTACCATTTTCCATATTTGCTATGCGAAGTCGCTTCAGTCATGTCCAACTCTGTGCGACCCCGTGGACAGCAGCCCACCAGGCTCCTCCATCCACAGGATTCTCTAGGCAGGAATACTGGAGTGGGTTGCTATTTCCTTCTCCCTATTTACAGGTGAGGAAATTGAAACTCAGGGATGTTTGGTAACCTGTTTTGAGATCAAGCAGTCAGTGGAAGAGCCAGGATTTGAAGCTCTGTCTCAAAGTGAGGCTTTCAATGCCTTGCATGCAGATGTGCTCAGTTGTGTCTGACTCTTTGTGACTCTGGACTGCAGGCCGCCAGGTTCCTCTGTCCATGGGATTCTCCAGGCAAGAATACTGGAGTGAGTTGCCATTTCCTCCTCCAGGGGATCTTCCCTGACCAGGGATCGAACCCCCCGCGCCTCCTGAATTGGCAGGTGGGTGCTTTCCCACTGAGCCACCTGAGAAGCCCGTGGGCTGCTATAATACGCTATTACTCAGACAGCTGCACCTGGCTCTCTGTCAGATAAGTATGTCGTGTCCCATACCAGATGCCATCTCATAATTCCATTCTCGCTGCTCCCTCCCCGCCCCCCGGCCCTCACAAAACCAACAGGAGGACTGTGAAGCCTGTATTCTCATCTCAGTGCCTGGCATTCCCTCTTCATTATCCAAGCCAGAATGTGCACAGGCAATTGACATAAACTTCATTCTGTCTCCATCCTACAGGCCTAGCTCCATCATCCTTCTGTCTCCATCATCCAGCCCATCAAAGCATCAGTTCCTGTGTATTCTTACTCTTTAACATGACTTGTCATCCATCTTTCCCTCTTTTTCACTTCCACTGCTTCTGTCCTAGTTGTTAACTTCGTATCCACCTGAGTTGCCCGTAATGCTGATAATCCAGCCCATTGCTTCTCATGTTACCTGAGCTGGAGAATCAAGGTTCCTTGTTTTTTGTGGTTTTTAATTTTTAATCTGTTGTGGAAATTTTGTATCATATAAAAAAATGAATCATTGAAAAATTGAAAAATAAAATATAAGCTCCATTTTTAAATTACTGAATTTGTTAAATATAACATTACTATCAATCTGCTAAAAAAGTTTTTAAATATCAATATTCTTCATGTAGCCTATCACAGATGGATAACAGTTTGCAGATTGGTGCTGGTCCACAGACAACATCAAGGAGCACCAGTTCATAGTATCTGATGAAAAGAAATGTCTTCCGTTTTCTTAGATCATAACCACGTGGGCCTATGTTGTTTAAAACCGAAATAGTTCAACTAGAACCTTCTTTGCTTTGGGCTTATAGATAGCTTGTAAATGTGGATTTAAGAAGTTTTAGAAAATTTCCAGTTTCTTTAGGATCCCTTCTTTAAATACAAAAAAAAAAAAAATCCCTTTAGAGCAAGGGGTAATCATGTGTTACACTCAAATTTTAATGCTGAGATCAAAGTGTACTCATTTAAGAACCCAAAGCAAGATTTCTTAAATAGATTTGGAAGTACAGTCTTCATGGACTACCTGTAATAAAAGTATTTTTCCTTGGTTTGATATATTTAACTTGATATGATTGTACATGCATACAAAAGTTTGCTTCTAGTATGTAGTAAAAGTATAGCAGAAGAGTTGATGTGTTCTATTTCTGAAAGTTTAAAATTCCACATACGTATTAATCTGATTGGATGATAAATAATTAAAGTAGGTTATCTGGATGCTGGCAGGGATCTGACTAAGCCCCAGTCAAAAAATTGGAAGTTAATGAAGCGCAGACAGGAGATGCTAAAATGGTCAGTCTGCACGATACCCCTTGGCTTTAAACAGGGTGTGGCTGAGGAATCAAAGATACAAAGACAGAGTTCTCAGGGGGTGGATTCAGGTATGGGAATGCTCTAAATTATTAGGCTGAGATTATACCTTCAGTTAGTTTAGACATTTATTAAATTAAACTGTACTGCTCAAACCCCATGGTTGTCTGCGTCAGGTCTGAGAGAACACATGGGCAAATGCCTAAGAGAACATAATGGGCCCAGAGGAGGTAAAAAAGTCAGAATGGCCTTCTAATGAAAAAGCAAATGAAGCAACTGATCTGCATCGCTGTACCAGGTACTTAAAATGACCACAGGAGGTGGGAGGGGGGTTCAGGATAGGAGGACACATGTTCACCCATGGCTAATTCATGTCGATGTATGGCAAAAGCCACCACAATATTGTAAGTAACTATCCTCCAATTGAAATAATTAATTAAATTAAAAAAAAAACTACCACAGAAAGTTTCTAACCACTGAGATTTTATTAAAAGTTTTACAAAAAAGTTTTTGAGTTCCATTATATCTATATTTGCTCTGTTAATGAAGTCTGTGAGTCTCAAACACAATCAGCTATCAAAACAAAACATAATTATGTCAACAAGAAGTTGGAACACTGAAGAATATTTAGGAGATTAAATTCCCAAAGCAGAATGTTATAACTATCACCATTTTTCCATTTCTAGATCATTCATATGAGATGGGTGGATGGCAGATTGCTGAACCCATATACCTAGAAAGTGATTAAAAGTTTTATTCAAAGAAAACTATAAAAGTAGCATCAATCAGTCAGTTCAGTCACTCAGTCCTGTCCGACTATTTGTGACCCCATGGACTGCAGTACACGAGGGCTCCCTGTCCATCACCAGCTCCTGGAGTTTACTCAAACTCATGTCCATTGAATCGGTGGTGCCATCCAACCATCTCATCCTCTGTCATCCCCTTTTTCTCTTGCCGTCAACCTTTCCTAGCATAGGGTCTTTTTCCAGTGAGTCAGCTCTTCATAAAGTGAACAGTGGGCAGTTTACTGTTTTGGAGTTTCAGCTTCAATGTCAGTCCTTCCAGTGAATATCCAGGACTGATTTCCTTTAGGATGGACTGGTTGGAACTCCTTGCAGTCCAAGGGACTCTCAAGAGTCTTCTCCAGCACCACAGTTCAAAAGCATCAATTCTTCAGTGCTCAGCTTTCTTTATAGTCCAACTCTCACATCCATACATGACTACTGAAAAAAACCGTAGCGTCGACTAAAAGTAGCATAGTTTTTATAAATTCGGGAATGGAGAGGAGATAGAAAAAGGCGACCTCATGGGGGTCTTTATGTGCCCCCACAAAAGTGAAAGGAGCAAGATGAAATGAAAAGAAAATGTATTTTTGAAAGGTAATAAAGAAAAGGGAAAAACAAGAAAATAACTTTTTCTTGATTTATACTGTAGCAAGTTAAGATGAGTTGTGGAATAACAGGTGTTCACTAGGTGGAGTGGGGTGGGGGAAATGATGACATTGCCGGCAAAGGGTCCGGAGAGGAAAACAGACCTGGAGGATGAAATAGAAGAGCCGCCTGGCTTGTCTCAGATTAGTGAGCAGTCTGGGACGGCCGGAGCACACGCCGGGATGACCATGAAGAAGGCTCGGACCAGAGCTGCTCAACTTATTGTTGAGCAACTTACTGTTGTCAACTTATTGTTGTCGTTCAGTCGCTAAGTCGCATCTGACTCTTTGCGGCCCCGTGGACTGCAGCACACCAGGCCTCTCTGTTCCCTCAGGACAGGGGCCCAGGTTGTTGGGCAGGAGTGTATTAAGGAAATCAGTATTTAATCTCAGCTGCCTTTTTTTTGTTTTTGATACTAGCCTGTGTATTTAGCTTTCTTATTTCATTACTGTGATATGCTGTTACCTATAATTGAGTTTTTAATGGATGATACCAGAATATTATAAGCGTCATCTAATTCAGTAGCTCTGAAATAGAAATAAGTCTCAGTGATTTAAAAAAAAAAATCCTTAGATTAAATGTGGTCTTGCTAGTAGACATTTTATTATGCCCTATCTCCCCTAACTCTGTGCCTGGTCCTTATGTGTTTTTTTTTTCCCCCAGATCGGCTTCAGCTCCCCAGGAATATGATTGAAAACAGCATGTTTGAGGAAGAACCAGATGTGGTGGATTTAGCCAAAGAGCCCTGTTTACATCCTCTGGAGCCTGATGAGGTGGAATACGAGCCCCGGGGTTCGCGACTGCTGGTTCGGGGTCTTGGCGAGCATGAGCTGGACGAGGACGAAGAGGACTACGAGTCGTCTGCAAAGCTGCTGGGCATGTCCTTCATGAACAGGAGCTCGGGGCTCCGAAACAGCGCGGCCGGCTACCGGCAGAACTCGGATGGGCCTTGCTCCATGCCCTCTGCCAGGACCATGGTGGTCTGTGCTTTCATCATCCTAGTTGCTGTTTCTGTAATCATGGTGATTTACCTCCTGCCCAGGTGTACCTTTACCAAAGAAGGCTGCCATAAAAAAAACCGATCCATGGAACTGATTCAGCCAATCGCAACGAATGGAAAGTTGTTTCCGTGGGCCCAAATCAGGCTGCCCACTGCCATCATGCCAGTGCGCTACGAACTGAACCTCCACCCAAACCTAACCTCGATGACGTTCAAGGGTTCCGTGACGATCTCGCTCCAGGCCCTTCAGGCCACGTGGAGCATCATTCTTCACAGCACAGGCCACAACATTTCCAGAGTGATCTTTATGACTGCAGTTTCAAGCCAGGAAAAAGAAGTTGACATCCTGGAGTACCCACTGCATGAACAAGTTGCCATTGTTGCCCCCGAGGCCCTGCTTGAAGGGCACAATTACACCGTGAAGCTCGAGTACTCGGCAAACATATCTGCTTCTTACTACGGGTTCTACGGCATCTCCTACACTGACGAAAGTGCTGAGAAAAAGTGCGTAGCCCTCCTCAGCGGTTCTGCTCCTTTGCTGTCTGATGACTTCTGCAGTATGGGTCTCTCTGCCCACATCAGCAATGTCGACTACAATTATTATTATTATTTTTAAGAGATTAGGTGCAAGATAATAGAATGGTGATTTGAAAGAGTATACTATAGCTCAGATGGTAAAGAATCTGCCTGCAATGCAGGAGACCCGGGTTTGATCCCTGGGTCGGGAAGGTCGTCTGGAGAAGGGAATGGTAACCCACTCCAGTCTTCTTGCCTGGAGAATCCCATGGACAGAGGAGCCTGGTGGGCTACCGTCCACGGGGTCACACAGAGTCAGACACGACTGAGCAACTATCACTCCTCCTCCTCCTCTTTCTCTCAGTGAAAGCCCTGAGCATATGTCACGACATATATGTCATATGTCACGGTGGAGGTAGGGGCCAGCTGATGGAAGGAAATGGCTAAAGATTATATCAGTTACATTCTCAATTACAAGAACTTACATTATCTTGAGCTTTTCATTTCTTATGAACCTAGTTTCTGTCCCCTTATAAGGTCTCTATGTGAAGCAGAGTGAAGAATATGGATTATCCCTTAAGACTTATTTTGCTATTATGTGGAACTTGTAGGAGGTGCTTACCGAGATAGAGAAAGGAAGCATGAAGAAGGGCTGTAAACTTACATATATATATATATATAATTTTTAGCATCTTTAATTTTAGTGGTTTATTAATTTTTTTTTTAGTGCCGCTCTTTTGGATTTCTGATGAAAATTTTAAAAAAGAAATTTTAGAGAGATTTTAGTTTTAAAAAAGAGACTTAAAACATAAAATTCCTAGACTCCCCATTTAGACCACATATTTTGTTCTTTGGCATGCTGCAGTCCATGGCGTCACAAAGAGTCAGACACGACTGGGAGACTGAACAACCACAGCATTCTGTTGTTTAACCTTAGTATTCATAGATATAGCTTGAATTTCTGGAAGGATGCAGTGCACAGGTGCATACAGGTTATTCTTCAGTAGCAATGATGTCAGTTCTCTTACATGTCCAAATTCCTTGTCAGATCTGCCTAATGCTTTGGCGCATTCTCTCCTATTCCTTTGCAAACCAGTGAATTACTGATGCTGGCCATTTGGCTAATGTATGTTGATATGTTGAGAAGAATAGATGAATATTTTAAACCTAAAGTGTTTTGATCCTTCTTAAATAGAGAAAGAGATAAGCAAGATCTGTACTCCTATTCAGATAGGTAATTTTTCTCTTTCCCCTTAATAATTTAAAAATAAATGGCCTACTGGCTCTCACCGTGAGCTCTGACATGAAAAGCAAATTTAAATTGCAGTGGTAGCTTGGGGGCTTCTTGGCTTTACTTCTCCTTTTATAATCTCCAGCATCCTCTAGGCATTACAGGATGTATAGAAACAGTGTTCTTAGCATGTGACTAATCTTTGAATAAATCCCCTAGTCATCTCTTCCATTCAGACTATTGCCATTGGGCGCTCCTGGGCCTGCCCATGTGTAACTGGAAGAGTGGTGGTTTTGGATATTGCCCCCTGTTGACTCTTGCTCTTGGCTCGATTGAGTGGTGAAAAATGCTAGAGAAATGGAAGACAGGTTCTTACAATTAAGAAACAGTATTTTCTCAAACTCCCCTCTTACAGAAAACACATGTAAATTTATTTACTTACCTGGTTCAATAAAATGAATGCCCCACCCAATTGTATATATTGATGCAAGTTAAAAGTTTAGAAGGTTATGTATACCTTTCAAGGGATCTGAAAACTATAATTCAAAACAGAGTAACTAAGGAATATATTCCTTATCGATTGGAAAATCAAAGTGTGTGTAGATGTCGAATGTACTGACACTGCTTGTGGCAGAGGAACTTGACCTGTGGCATCTATGAGGTGGAGACGGTCAGTGACCTTGCAGTTAAATCTACAAGTTGTTGACGATAGACTTAAGGTCCTAGAGAACAAGCTGATACTAGACAAACTAGTAAAGAAACAGGGTGGGGATGCGCTCCATTGCTTTGTCCTTCCGTCTCCCAGCGTCACTTTCTTGAACTCTTGAACCATCTTCTTAACTAGACCTCTGACCTCAGATCCAGCCACAGCCCCCCTCTTCTCTTTCCCTCGTCTTCCACATGGGCTGCCAGACTTGTTCTAGAAGCGCAGACCTGACCATGCTGGTCTTTGGTTTATGATCCTTTAGCAGTTCCTCATTTTCAGGATGACTTAGTTCAGTTTCTTTCTAGATCTGGGAGTGTTGGTATTTTTTGCTTTTTCTCACAGCCTTCACCAACTTCATGTGCACTTTCCTGAATTCCACTGATAGTGGCAGCCCATATTTACTTGAGAACTGAAGTGCTAGAAACTGGTGCAAGCATGCTCTATGTTTAGTTTTTTATCCTGTCAAACTCATGCAGGGGTAAAAATTATATTTTATTCACTTTTCAGAGGAGGAAGCAGAGGCACATGAAAGAACTCATTCAGCATCTTTTGACCAGCAAGTAGCAGAGGGGGATTCGAATCCAGTCATCAGAGACCACACATTCTTAACCACTGTGGTACACTGCCTCTTTCTTCACCCATTCACACCTCTTTACCCATTGTTATCACCAGTGCTTAGAATTCTTTTACCTGACCCTCAGCTAATTCATAACTGTCTTCAGTGCTGCTGGAGGTGGTGCTCAAACTGCAGCTAGTATTTCTGACAGCAAATGCAGTCACTGATGAGAGAACAAGCTTTGATTGTAAGTATCATCAACCAGCAGCCTTCTCAAAGGGACTTCTATGTAAGAGAGTTATTATTGCATCTCTTTTAAGCTCTTTTTGGTCTCAGAACATTATAATCCAGTTTTTATCCAAAATGATGGTTCAAGTAGACTCTCATATGAATAGTACAAATGTCATCAAACTTTATCCCCTGGTCTCTTGTGGCCCTCTTCCAAAATCTTCTGTTAACTGGGTACGAATTTGGGAGTTGAGTGGAGAAAGAGAATATTAGAAACATGTTTCAGTTGTTTCATGTACATTGATTGCCATCATTCTTGCAGTTTGCTCGAAGAAGAAATAGTTATTTGGGCATGAAGGAAGAGTTATGACTGTCTAGTATTTATAACAGACATCTGTGTAGGACTTTATGGCATAAATGTGGTTGTTATTATGTATCAAATTAGAATTTCAAAATAGAATCAACACCCCTAAATGTTTGGTGAGGGATTCTACCTCAATCCTGGTTTAACAAATAAGCATATGGGATGTAAGTCACTGATTTGCTTAAGTCATATGGCTGGTAAGTTGCAGAGTTTGGGTCTTCTGCCTTTAAATCTTACACTCTTTTCCTCTCGCCTTTTAAAAGTATCAGTAGAAACTAAGCCCTAAGGAAGGAAGGCCATCATCTCCAAAGTGGTGGTTGTCTGAGTACCATATTGACTATATTGATTATATTGATTTGTGCACACCAGCACCACTTTTGTGCTGATTGCTCTAGGGCCATGTTTGGATAATTTCCCAAATGCAGATCTACTTTATTCTTCTGCTGAATTAAAAAATCTCCATTTCTCATCTATTTATGCTTTTCCACCAACCTTTAGTGGAGGACTTACAGTTAAATTCTCAAGTGTTATAGCTGTGTTGTAGGAGGGGGAGGAAAAATTTTGATTCACTTCTGAAGTAAAAAACCCCAGCATACTGTCAGACGCCTAGTTTTCTTCAGTCTTTGTCCTAGTGCAGATTGTGAGTTTGAGGTTTAGTGTTACGTAGTCACAGTGTGTACAGATGAGTAAGGACAATGGATGAACATCTTTCATACTGTTCTTTGCTCAGAAACCTTTTTAAGACCTCAGTGGCCAGCTGTCACCTTCCTCTGGCTTCATCTCCAGCCACGTCGGACATCCACCCCCAGTCCCCAACATGCACCGCTCTGTCCTTGCTTGTGCTTTCTGCTCTTTCTAGACTATACCCTCTTCCCTCTCTCCTTTTGCAAACATTCCTCACTTTTAAAGGCCCTCTTCATATTTCTTCAACAGTTTTCCTACAGTGTCTCTACCACTAGGCAGAATTCCTACCCTTTGTTTCCACTACTTTGTTCTCACCATTAGGACATGATTTACAGCCTGAGAACTTTCCGTCTATTGTATAACCTCTGCCTCTCCCAGTTGATTGCAAATCCTTTAATGCCTGGACTTGTATGATATTTATCTTAGTATCCCTAGTACTTGGCAAGGTGCCTTGAATAGTAGGTGCTCAATAACTGTTGGATGGATTTGCATTCGTTTTAGGTACTTTGCGGCAACTCAGTTTGAACCCTTGGCAGCAAGATCTGCTTTTCCTTGTTTTGATGAACCAGCATTTAAAGCCACATTTGTCATCAGGATCAAAAGAGATGAGCAATACACTGCTTTATCAAATATGCCTAAGGTACTGTTCTGTTCCTTGAATGTAAAATTTTTTGAGTGGATCTCTTTCTTTATTATGAATACTTGGATGCTTCTTTGCCGTCCCACTGAGAATGATTAAAATCATATTCCTTCTTACTCTTTCTTAAAATGCTTTAATAAAAGTAAAATATGTATTGGAATCAGTTGTGAAGTCAGCCTGAGAAGCACTTGAGGGAGGAGAAAGACTGGGATGGATGCATGGGCGGGAAATGTGAAGTGTGTGCTATATAGTAAAGTTCTGTAAATATTAATATTATGAACTACTGCTAAAGAAACAATGATATTTTGGAGACATGGTGAATTTGCTATTCTAAACTGTGATATTTGTTAAGTGTTGAATCATGATTGACCTTGATGTTTTACTGGTTATTGAAAAAGTTGATATTGTGACGTGGAGGTTTAACAACAAGAGCATGGATGTCTTTCTTGTCTGTGAGCTCCGCATGGGAGGTAGTGGGAGTGAAACCAGGCAGAATTGTTTTTACACTGAACAGAACTCAGAGGGTCCTTTTGTTACCTGGTGGCTCAGGTGGCAAGAATCTGACTGCAATGCAGGAGACCCGGGTTCAAGCCCTGGGTCGGGAGGATCCCCTGGAGAAGGGAATGGCGACCCACTTCAGTATTCTTGCCTGGGAAATCCCATGGACAGAGAAGCCTGGTGGGCTACAGTCCATGGGGTTGCAAAGAATCGGACTTGATTGAGCAACTAACGCTTGGTATACCCGAGAGCTGTATGCAGCCACATTGGCGCTTCTCAGAACCCCTGTGGCTGGGGGCGGGGAGGAGCAGCAACATCTAACTGATTGTAGAGTCAGCCCTTGAGTCCAGAAAAGGCCAAGACATGGTATGTCCTTCAACAAGGACGTCACTTCAGCAGCTCTACTCCTTACCTTAACTCTTCACTTTAATCTTTCTTTAAGAGAGATTGAGTGCTTCCTTGCCTAGGAACCTAAAGCATTTTAAATTCATGGCTAGAAAATCCTGCAAGGCTGCACACATTCCCTCATCTCATGTCTACTGCAGGCTCCTCTATAGTGACGCCTCACCTTTGATCCTGTAGCCTTCTTGTGGTCATCAGCACAGTCCTTTATGAAGCCATTTCAGGTCATTTGGAGGGATTAACCAGCTGTAGCTCCTTCTTGTGTGAATGTATTATTTTTGTAGCAGTAGAATGGAGTATTCTCAGATCATAAGGAAGGATTTTTGTCTTTGGTGTTGTTTTAAAGGGGAGACAGAGCCACTGTTACTGTCTCTAACTTACACTTATTTAAAGCCATTGTTTGAAACTAAGAGCTTCTTAAGGGTTTTACTGTACTCAGTCTGTCCTCGAGATGAAGGATGGCAGAGAAGACTGAGGCTGAGATCTGTGCTGTTTAGGAACTTGTGCTTAGAAATTAAAATAGGCCAGCATCTTCACTACTTACTTCCTATCTGAATTTTCAGTTGCCCAGTTTGTATGTTGTTGTCACATATTCCCATAGTTACAGAATTGGCATTTTCCCCTTTGCTTGTAGAAGTCATCAATCGTGATGGAAGATGGACTTGTTCAGGATGAGTTTTTTGAGAGTGTGAAGATGAGCACTTATCTGGTTGCCTTCATTGTGGGGGAGATGAAGAACCTGAGTCAGGACGTAAATGGAACCCTGGTATGTATGTCGTCATGGAAGTTGTCTTAAAAACCTGTTTATAAGAGGTTGAGAGGAGTCCTTTCATGATATCTGGCAACTGCTTTATGAAGGAAAAAAAGCTTTTGATTCACCACTCTCACATTTTATACCAGGACTGTTACTTTTACTGAGTTGTTATTTACTGTTTGAATACCTAAAAAATCAATGATTTTTAAGTTCCTTTGAATTTTACTTTGTTAAGAGAATTTCAGTAAGGCAATATATAAAGGCAATAAAGCCTCTAGAACTGTGCTGTCCAGTATGGTGGTCACTAGTTTTATGTGACTATTTAGATTTAAAATAAGTGACAGCATTGTGGCTGGGTAGGGACTTTCCTGGTGGCTCAGATGGTAAAGAATTGCCTGCAGTGTGGAAGACCTCGGTTTGATCCTTGGGTCGGGAGGATCTCCTGGAGAAGGGAATGGCTACCCTCTCCAGTATTCTTGCCTGGAAGAGTCCATGGACAGAAGAGCCTGGCCTGTTACAGTCTATGGGATCGCAAAGAATCGGACACGACGGATTGACAGACACACACATGTTGGCTTGGTAAGATGTCCCCCATTCATCCCTGTCTGCTCCCCTCCACCCCTGCCCCAGAAACAACAATTGGGCATCTATCTATGGACAAAAATGCCCTTATGGAAGATGTGGGGTCCAGCACTATCTTCCTAAAAACCTGGGAGGAGCCTTACCCTCTCATGCATTAGGTCTCAGCATACAGACCTCAGTCCTGGCTGTGGACCCCGTTGTGGCCCACACTATTACTGTAGTCCCTTTGGCTGTGGTCTGGGAGCTCAGTAAAACACTGCCTTAGACAATCATGCTTGGATAATAGAGACTTTGTGGAAGTCCAAATTTCTAGCAGAAAAGTTCTAGTACACTTTTGGAGCAAAGCATATGAGTTTAGATGCATTGGAGAGAACAATTAGTAAAGACCAGAGAAGGTGACTGCTATTTCAGATGTGAAGACAGTAATGCGACAATTTAAGGAAACACAGTACCACCAAAGGATCCCAGTAATCTTCCAGTAACCGATACCAAAGATGTGGAAGTCTGCCATTTACTCAATAAAGACTTCAGAATAGCTATTCCAAGGAAACTATGAACCACAAGAAGATAGGAAAAGGCAATTTGATTAAATCAAGAAACAATACGTGGACAAAATGAGAAGTTTAAGAAAGACATTGAAATCATTAAAAAAAAAAATTCTCGGTCTGAAAAATACAATGAATGAAATGAAACTTGCAATACAGAGCATCAACAGCAGAATGAATCAAGCAAGGAAAAGAATTTGTGAGTTAGGAGACAGGGAGTTTTATATTACCTGGTCAGAACAGAGGAAAAAGAGTGAAGAAAGCCTGCATGATTTGTGGGATACCATCAGAAGAAACAATTTCTGAATTATTGGAATTTCAGAAGGAGAACATAACAAGCAGTGGGCAGAAAGTTACATAAAAAAATAATTGCTGAAAATTTACCAAATCTGGGGAGAAATTTGGATATCCAAGTCTGTGATGCTTGTAGCATACCAAAAACCTCTGAAAAAGGAAAGGGAAGGAAAAAAACCTGCCAACCAAAAATACTCTGCCCAGCAAAGTTATCCTTCAGAAATGATGGAGTGAGAAAGACTTTTCCATATGGATAAAAGGCAGAGAGCCCCTTACCACTAGACCTGCCTTACAAGAACTGCTGAAAGGAGTGCTTCCAGCTGAATTGAATGGACACTACTTAGTAACATGAAAACATGAAAATGTAGAACACACTGGAAAAGGCAATTATATAGTAAAATTCAGAATGCTCTAATAGTGTAATGTAGTGGTATATGTATCATATAAAAAAAAAAATGAAGTCACTCAGTCGTGTCCGGCTCTTTGGGACCCCATGGACTGTGGCCTACCAGGCTCCTCTGTCCATGGGATTCTCCAGGCAAGAGTACTGGAGTGGACTGCCGTTTCCTTCTCCAGAGGATCTTCCCGACCCAGGGATCGAACCTGGGTCTCCCGCCTTGTAGGCAGACGCCTTACCGTCTGAGCCACCAGGGAAACCAATGTATTATATGGTATGTATCAAAAGCAATTCTAATAGAGAAATTTAGATTGATAAATGCCTTCACCAAGTAAAAAGAAAAATCTCAAATAAACAACCTAACTTTGCACCTTACGAAACTAGAAAAAAGAATAACAATCTAAGCCCAAAGTTAACAGAAGGAAGGAAATAAAGATCAGAGCAGATAAATGAAATAGATACCAGAAAAAGAGGAGAAAAGGTAAAACTGAGGGTTGGATTTTAGAAAAATAAATGAAATTGACAAACTTTTAGCTCGACTAACTAATAAAAACAAGCTTCAAAATCAGAAATGAAAATGAGACATTACACTTGATAGAGAAATACAATGGATCATAAGAACCTACTGTGAAAAATTATAGGCCAAGAAATTGGATAATCTAGGAAAAATGGACACATTCCTAGGAATATATAGTCTACTAAGACTAAATCATAAAGACATTTAAAAAAATCAACAGATTAGTAAAGAGAGATTGAATTAATAATCAAAAACATCCCAACAAAGAAAAGCCCAGGATCGAATCAGTTTCTCTGGTGAATTCTACTAAATGATTTTTTAAAAAATCTATAGATTCAATGCAATAGAATTCCAATGTAATTTTTCACAGAAATAGGAAAAAATCCTAAAATTTTATGGAACCACAGAGACCTCAAATAGCTAGAGAAATTTTGAGAAAAAAGAACAAAGTTTGAAGGTATCACACTTTCTGATTTCAAGCTATATACTGCAAAAATAAAGTAACCAAAATCTTATGCTTGGTATTCAAAAGAGTATGATACTGGCATAAAATGAGACACACAGACCAATGTGACAGAAACAAGAAGCCAAAAGTAAACTCCTGCAAATATGGTCAACTAATATCAAACAAGAGAGTCAAAAATACTTGCTGGGGAGATGGGAGTCCCCTCAATAAATAGTGCTGGGAAAACTGGATCATCACATCCAGAAGAATGAAAGTGAATCTTTATCTCTCACCACTCACAAAAACTAACTGGAAATGAATTAAAGACTTAACTGTAGATCTGAAAGTGTAAAACTCCTAGAAGAAAACAGAGAAAATGCTCCATGACATGGGTCTTGGCAATAATTTTTTTGTATATGACACCAAAGCACATTCAACAAAAGCCAAAAAATCAACAAGTGGGAATATCTTAAACTGAAAAGCTTCTTCACTGCAAAAGAAACAGCCAGCCAAATAAAAAGGCAACCTGTGAACTGGAGGAAAACATCAGATAGCATGTATCTGCTCAGCTGGTAAAGAATCCGTGCAATACAGGAGACCCCAGTTCTATTCCTGGGTGGGGGAGATCCCCTGGAGAAGGGATAGGCTACCCACTCCAGTATTCTTGGGCTTTCCTGGTGGCTCAGGTGGTAAAGAATCCACCTGCAATACAGGAGACCTGGTTCGACCCCTGGGTTGGGAAGATCCCCTGAAGAAGGGAACAGCTACCCACTCCAGTATTCTGGCCTGGAGAATTCCATGGACTGTATAGTCTGTAGGGTCACAAAAGTCAGACACGACCAAGCGACTTTCACTTTCAACACTTTCAATATATCAGGCAAGGGAGTAATATTCAAAATATATAAGGAACTCATAGAACTCAGTGGAAAAAATGCAAATGATCTGGTTAAAAAATGAGCAGAGTTTTCCAAAGAAGACATACAGATGACCAACAGATGCATGAAAAGGTGCTCAGCATCACTAATAGGAAGGAAAATGCAAATCAAAACCCCAGTGAGATACCACCTCACACCTGCTAGAAAGACTGACATCAAAAACAGATGACAGACATTTTTCCAAAGAAGACATACAGATAGCTAACAAATATGAGAAGATGTTCAACATCGCTCATTATCAGAGAAATGCAAATCAACACCACAATGAGCTACCATGTCACGCTAATCAGAATGGCTGCTATCAAAAAGTCTACAAGCAATAAATGCTGGAGAGGGTGTGGAGGAAAGGGAACCCTCTTACACTGTTGGTGGGGATGCAAACTAGTGCAGCCGCTATGGAGAACAGTGTGGAGATTCCTTGAAAAACTGGAAACAGAACTGCTTTATGACCCAGTTGTCCCACTGCTGGGCATACACACCAAGGAAACCAGAATTGAAAGAGAACCCAATGTTCATTGCAGTACTGTTTATAATAGCTAGGACATGGAAGCACCTTAGATGTCCACTGTCAGATGAATGTGTAAGAAAGATGTGGTACATATACACAATGGAATATTACTCAGCTATTAAAAAGAACGCTTTTGAGTCAGTTCTAATGAGGTGGATGAAACTGGAGCCTATCATACAGAGTGAAGTAAGTCAGAAAGAAAAACACGAATACAGTATATTAATACATATATATGGAATTTAGAAAGATGGTAATGATGACCCTATATGCGAGACAGCAAAAGAGACACTGACGTATAGAACAGTCTTTTGGACTCTGTGGGACAAGGCGAGGGTGAGATGGTTTGAGAGAATACATTGAAACATGTATATTACCATATGTGAAACAGATCGCCAGTCCAGGTTGGATGCATGAGACAGGGTGCTCAGGGCTGGTGCACTGGGATGACCCAGAGGGATGGGATGGGGAGGGAGGTGGGAGGGGGTTCAGGATGGGGAACACATGTACCCATGGCTGATTCAGGTCAATGTATGGCAAAAGCCACCACAATATTGTAAAGTAAGTAGCCTCCATTTAAAATAAAAAATAATAATTAAAAAAACCAGATGACTAGTAACAAGTGTTGATAAGGATGTAGAGGAAGTGGAATCCTTGTGCAGTGTTGATGGGAATGTAAATTGGTGCGGCCACTCAGGAAAACAATATGCGAGGCTTCCTCCAAAAAATTAAAAAATAGTACCAGCATATGATACAGCAATCCACAGGATATATATCTGAACAGGATCTTAA